TTCGGAATTAAAAACCGGGAAATGTGATACCGCCCTTTTAACTAACTAGCTAATACATATTAGAGAACGGCAAATTTGGAGGCAGCTGACTAACGAGATGAAAGGAGCACATATGTGATAAGCCCCGTTAAATGTACCGAAAAGTCACCTCTCTTCCTAATTTCGATCTAAACCGAATTTCAAAACCAGTTTCGATCAAAATCATTAAAAGGGGTGACTTTTCAGTACATTTAAACTCCCACCACATTCCCTGCCAATCACATATGTGCTCCTTTCCTAGCTCCTAACTGTTTAAAAGCCTTCTAACGGTGGTATCACATTTCCTGGAGTTTCATTTCCCAAAATGGGCCATTTACCAGAATGTATAAAATCCTGTGCACTCAAAACGGTAAATTTTGCTCCTGGGAATATTACCTTTTTTATATAAATATCAAATTAAAGAAATAACAATAAGCAAACGAAATTAAAAAAAATTAAAACAAAAATAATAGAACAACGCAATGAACGCTCAAAGAAGGAAATATTCCCATTTTTATCAAATTTTTAAAGCTTTAATTTTTTTTTAACATATTCGAAAACTAAAATATTGCCGAAAACTTTATGCTAATAAATGGCCCATTCTGAAATTAAAATCCTGGAAATGTGATAACACCACCCTAACTAACTGGAGTTAGCTGACTAACAAGATAAAAGGAGCACATATGTGATAAGCCCCGTTAAATGTACTGAAAAGTCACCTCTCTTCCTAATTTCAATCCAAACCGATTTTAAAAACCAGTTTCGATCGAAATTATAAAAAAGGGTGGCTTTTCAGTACCTTTAAACTCCCACCACATTCCCTGCCAATCACATATGTGCTCCTGCCCTAGCTCCTATCAACCTACCTAATTCTTTTTCAAAATATATACTATATCTAAAACCTAACATTGCTACTCTGGAATGAGACGATCGAGCGCACGGTAGTGGTCCTTCGAACTTCATAAACAGTACTTCGATGAAAGCATTCTGCCACATCGATTGGTTTGCTTGGAAGGCACTTCCAAAAGGATGGAATTGATATACCTATCCAAGCACGGTCCCTAAACGAATTTTGTCGCCAAAAGTTCCCTATTAAGTGTTAATGGGTTCCGAGGACTCGTCAGAGACAAGGTGGTAGCTCAAAGTATTCGTACGTACCCGGCTACAACACCTATACTCTTTAGAAGTCCTCGGAAAAGCTAAAAATTTGGATGAAATTCGTTGGACCCCCAGTGAGCTCGATCTAATCACACAAACACAAAGCCAAACTACTAGAAAAGATTTTGAATTTCCCACAAACCGAGGAAAACGGCCGAAACCATGAATACCAAGCCTAAAGGTTTCCAGCCAAAAATCGTTTTTACCCAAGTTGGTTTTGGGCGGCTAGAATTTTCAAGCAGCATCACAGTAGGCTGCATCGAAAACGTCAAATTTTCCTCCTCGGTTTGTACACTGCAATGTTGTCGTGAGGTACATTGCTCCCAAAATCCAGCATAAACCAGATTCATCTGGGAACGCTGGAGTTTGGGAGTTGACGTCTGTGTAGAAACATTGGCAGTGCTCGGTGCATACGTCAAACGTTCCAAAATGTTATGTTGTATTTTTGCGTATGCTTGGAACACTGCTACCGTCGTCTGGCAGCACTGTACCTCGGTCAACCCTGCAGTCAATATGGAATCTATATCGGTAATATTACATTTAACACCCTGACATAAATTTTGTGGAGCCCTATCTACTAATTCCTGATAATCTTGAAATTCTACTTCCTCAAAATCTACATTTAAAACTTTCTTACCATTACCCGTAGTTGAGGCATCTTGGGTCGTTTCAAGTCGGTTCTCTGGAGCTGCTCTCCCAAAACCCTCACCAATCACCTGTTTGCTTTTCGTTGCTATAAATGGCCGGCGGATAAAGTCAGCTACCGGTGACCTGACGTTCTCATACTCGTCCGTCACCGGTAGTCTTTTAAGCATTTCCCAACGGTCCCGGCACTTTGGGAGCTTGGGCTTTGTAGAAGCCGCTTTGATGCGGTTATACATAGCCGCAAGCTCGCCATTAGGGTCGGGACGCATGAATGCCGGTAAGGTCATCGGTCTTACATTCCGACCGGACCGGTTCTTTCCGGCATCACGACCATTTTCAGCATTTTTAGCAAACATTTTGATTAGCGGTGTGGTTTTTTTTTTCAATGAGATGGAGAGCGATGAAAACACGTCTGCTTTGAAACTACCTAAGAAGCCTCTTGACGATTGTTAGCAGCAGTCTTACTTATATAGACTCTTGGCATGCGAAAATTTGGTTACAGCACTGTTGCTATGGTAGCGCCTGGAAGATGATGCGCAGTGGGGGAAAGTCGTGAAAATCGGACTTTTTGGTCAAGGTAGGCGTGCATGTTTTTTCCTTCATTGTAGTGACATTTTTTTTCAGAAGCAATATCAACCGAAAAAAAATGTAACGGACATGGACGCTTGAGGTCATGAATGTGGGACTTGGTGGTACATTTGCCAGGAACGGACATGCTGTTGAGCTCTATCAGAATCTTCACAATTACCAGGGAAGCCGGACCGGAATTCCTAGCGGTTAAGATGTGATGATGGAGTCGTGTTTATTCGTTCCGGATGTTGGTGCGCTTCGGTTAATTCCTTGGTAGTTCCCGACTTAGTATTTTTCAGCTGAATCCAGTCGGGAATTACAAAGGAATTAATCGAAGCGCACCACGTTTTCTTTTTTTCTATTTCGCGCTATTGTCGATACATTTTCTGTTGGAAATTGCCGCTCGGCGCTACCGGCACTTAGTATCTAGTGAGTTGTGCAATTCCAGCGCTATCATGTTGTCGAAGAAGGGTTTTAAGTGGGGAAGTCATCGCTGGTGTCGCTTAAGTCTAGTATTTACAGAAATTTTTTTCGAGCCTCAACATCTGTTCTCTGTGTTTTAAGTTTCAAGAATGAATTTCCAAGGCGGATCTTTTGTTTAAGATTATTCAAAAACAGTCAGCTGCTTCGAGTAAATAACGTAGCTCACTTTGAGACAAATAGCTGGTTCATTGGAGCTGTGCGTATCACCTTTGGATGTTGCCAAATATATTAACAATATGATCCACTCTTTCGCTTAGCTGGCGAATCAATTTTTAAACGATGAAAGCGCTTCTGCGGCTAATGTATTTGTTTATCATCACGGGTGGTAAATCTAATGAAAATTTGTATAATGTTTTTATTTTAGTATATTATTTGATTTGATGACAACAGTGACGTCAGACAAATTTGCATGTAATATTAAAAATGTCTCCACTCCAAACACGATGCCTCCGGTAAAATGTGGAACGGAAAATTGACATTGTTTGAAAAATGATTGCTCAGCCATTTATCGATGCATTTTAAATTTGTTGATGCCGAATAAATGTTTAAAGTATTTAGTTTCAAATGGCTCCAATAGATTTGAAGTTCGTTGATAAATGGCTGACCTATGATTTCTCAAACATTGTAATTTTGTGGTTACACATTTTACCGGAGGAATCGTGATCGGAGTGTTAATGAACATAATTTGACTTTTATTTTTGTAATAAGTGCTATGTTCACGCCCTTCACGATTGAATGATTGTTGCTGACCTGTTTCATGACGTATGGATGGTGCCTGAAGCAATATTTTTCGGGTTGCCATTGCAATGTACGGAAAAGGCATGAATGGATCATATTGTTAACCTAAGATATATATTTTTATTTTTATTTGGATGATGTATAACACTCGGTATAACATTAAATTTGGTGTTTCTAGCTCTTCTTCGTTCCACCACGCCGTCGAATGCGCTGATCGATTGTCAAAAAGTTCCGAGGTTGTAGCATGTTGTAGCCTCAGCGAAAAGGTAGAAAGAGAAGAAACTGGCAACACCGGAAGTTCCGACATGAAGTGTACTCTCGTTGAAGCATTCTTACAACGATACTAATAAAAAATGGTCTGCCATGGACCCGAAAAACAAAATGAATAAAATAAAACAATAAAAGGTCCAATAAAAATTATGTTTTCTATTCTAAAGTTTCGACTCCTTTTTCTTTACATTACTGTGATTTCATCGCCCTTCATTGTGTACGTCACTTTAATTACGTCATGCAAATTGCATCTTCATATATTCCATCGGTTTTGTGCCAAAATGATACACTCTTTGCACACTGTCAAAGACGAGGTCAAATATCATTGCACACAAAATCTACTTTGTTCAAATCAAAACAAAAATACTAGGCCATCTGGTGACTGACGAGTACGAGTACGAGTGACGAGTACATATCACCGAGCATTTCACTTTATTAATAAATTCGTTTATTTTTTACAGGAAGAAAATTCTATTACAGTGAACCACGTTATTTTAATTGATTTCTTCACCAGTTAGTCGTCTGTCACTTTGTTTGTGATACTATTACACATTTTATGAATAATCAGCAATAGAAATTTGCCAAAAGGTATACGGGGATTTCTATCCGTTTATGAAATTAGATCTGTCAAAATAAACTTGACACTGAATTGCTATGTATTTTCCTCGGATTGTCAATAACACGCTCTTACAAATCGCACCACGCTAATGAACAAATACCATAAATTATAAACTGTATCCCGGATGGGTAAACTGTTGGGTAAACTATTCAACTGCCCTTATTAAAATAATCATAAAAGAGATCCTTACGACGTGTTCGGGGTATCATCCAAAACATTTGTTGGATAGTTTACCCATCCAGGATACAGTTTATTTATGGTATTTGTTTATTAGGGCGGACGTGAAAATCTCTATGTGGTAAATCTAGTACTTCTATTTGATTCCCGGTTTTATTAAATTTAATTTTCCCGGAGTCCACATAATCTTCACGAGTGCGGCCCTGATTTGTCCACAACTGTTTATCTTTTTCCACTCCTTTCGACGTTGAGTTTGGTCGCGTTTTCCCCATTTTTTCCTCGCATCTCACAGTTCCATTTTGACGTTTGTATAGGCAGGTGGCGAATCGCGAAAAAGGTGGTTCAGCGTTCATTGTTTTGCGTGTGCATATTTTCCGTTTTCGATTCTCAATATAATCCCAGTTTTTGGATCGGATAATCCGTGAAGATTTTCGCGCGTGGCAAGAACTCTATAAAACCAAGCGAGTAGTGTGATCGACACCATGGGCGGCAAGAGAACTAAAAATAACACCAAGGTAAGAACTGCAGTAGCTGCAGCCAGGAGTCGATCAATATGAGCAGCAGGATTTTTGTTCTGATTGAATTGATTGGTGCATTTGGCACAAAATCGATGACGACTTATTTATTTGTGTTTGTTTATGGTGGAATCGAAGCGAAATGTGCGGTCCACAACCTTTAAGAGGCCTGCATTATCTGTTTCGTGTGGAATGTTGACGTGTGTTGTTTTTGTTGCTATATCCCTGCAATGGCGCTATCGATTTCACAATGTTGCTTCCTTCCAGCAACTCCAGCCAATCTGTGCTTGCATGATTTGTAACACCTTTCTCTTTTTTCCCCGGTGCAGCCGTCCAGCAGCGGCCGCAGTGCGGAAATGCTCGGTAGTACCGTGCCTACCTTGTTCGGTTTCACCGCTCTCGACAGTAGTAAGATGCCGGTGGTGCCAAGTTTTGTTCAGATCGAAACTCATGGCGACGACATCGATCCGAATCTAGACGACACATTTCAGATAGTGCTGAAGAAGATGCTCAAAAAGGATCCTACAACGAAAACTAAAGCACTCCAGGAATTTACCGAGCTAATCGGAAAGTCGGAACTGGATGTAGTGAAGTCGGTGTTGCCGTTTTGGCCACGTCTGTACAGTAACTTGTCTACGGACGTGGAACATCGAGTTCGGGAAACGGCTCAGCAAGCTCAAGCTGCTATCGTGACCAAGGCAGGCAAGAATATTGCTCCGTTTTTAAAACAATTGGCGCCGGCTTGGATTTCGGCGCAGTACGATACCTACGCACCGGCAGCCAGCATGGCCGGACAGTCGTTTAGTAGCGCTTTTCCTCCCAGCAAGTTGCGTGAAGTGTTTGTGTTTTGCGAAAGCGAAATTCTCGAGTACTACACGAAGCATCTAACAGTGCACACGGCGATCACGCTGAGTAACCCAAAGTAAGTATTGTTGTCGTGCAAGTAAGTAATGTGAATCGATTAATTAACTATCATTTATTTCTCTGCTACAGATCACACACTCCGGAGGAATGCGAAAACAAGTACCAGCGTGTGCTGATAGCCAGTCTGCGTGGATATGCTTTGTATCTCAGTAAAATGCCAGAAGAGCAGCTGCGGAAGTCAGCCGACCAAAATGGGCTACTCCTGGATAATCCGAAATTCTGGTCCTACCACAAGCATAAAACTCCAGCCGTTCGATCGGCTTGGTTCGAGGTGATATCCACTCTACTTCAGTACGGAACTTTCCTGATCGAAAAACACCAGCAACAAATCACGACCAGCGTGTTCCAATTCATGGACGAAACTGATCCAACGGTTGTGACGCACATTTGGAGCTCGATTGTGCTCGTACAAGCTAAAATTCCAAATTGGCACACGTACCTCAACTTCGACAAGGCAGTGTTCCCCAAATTGACCAAGGTTTTGCGAACGGGAGCGAGCGGGAATGCAGCCTGCGTCTTTCCACACATGCTGCCGTTAGTATCGAAGTTTACGCGTGAAGTTCTCGGCGACAAGATGGAAAAATTCCAAACGTTGTTCTTTGATGGATTTAACGAAGGACTTAAGGCGGTTCATTCGAGCCGGACGGACATCACCGCCATCTCGCAAGCTTACTACGAAGTGTTCCAATATGTGGTGGTTCAAACCGTGAAAGATGATCGAATGCAGTCCGACGAAATCGACAGTTTCTGCGAAAGAATGCTTGAAGATCATCTAGTTAAAGTGATTGAGTGGTGCATTACAACGGAAACATCGAGTGGGCGATTTATTTTCGGTAACATTGCTTCGCTGCTGGACTACTGGTGCCAGTATAGTGCCAACGTGAAGATCTACGAACAAATTTTGGCCAAATTCTGGAACCGTCTATTTGAAGTAATTGAACAAAGTGTCAACCGTTCCGAAGCAATCGAACAAGTGTCCCAATCGCACACTGAATTGGTACAAAATCTTAAGCGAACCTCCCACAAGCGTGTCAAATTTACAAGTGATACCACCGAACGTCAAACTTCGGACCCAAATCGCCAACATGCGCACCGCTTCGAAGATCAGCTGCAAACTTTGGTGTACAAAATTTGCCGCCTCTACATGGATCGTATCACTAAAACTCGCAACCAAGCGCTGGTTCTACAGCTGGAGAATCTGATTCGGCAGTTTCAATGTCCGCAGTTGTTCCAATTTCTCGCCAGTGGTGGCGGCGACGGTGGCGAAGGAACAAAACTCAATTGTTTGTTCGAAACGTTTGCCGCTGTCTGGTTGAGTGACGAACGACTACAGTCGGAGTACATAGTCGAGATTGTATTGATTGTGTACAAATACCTACCGGAGGAGGAGCGGGTGACGATGCTGAACAAATGGATAAAGGTGAGTGGAAATTAAACGGTCTATCAATGCGGATTGCCCTTAGCCGTTTTATGGAATGCTACGAGCCAGGGCGAAAGGTTATTCTGTATCGTTGAATTTATTGACGCATTCCTGTCGTAAATTTTAGCATGCTTACCGGCGAAGAAATCACACATAATACCTAGCACGGTGGGAATGGCGAAAGCACTAGCAAACAATGTTCTTCGGTAGACAATTTGTTAATGAGCGGTTGTTAAAATTGAAGTTCGATGATTTGCGATGCGATAATCGTCATAGTTTTGTTTTAAGCTGATTTGCTAATCTTATGCTTTTAGACTGTCAAAAAGCTTTTTGAGTATAGAAGTAAAACCTTTGTCTTAAGATAGCAGACTTCAAAAAGTCCAGAAATTTTGAACCTTGAGTGTGTACCTACCCGAAGTAGTTGAATGTAGAACATTTTGGAGTAAAACGTTTCGCGGTTTGAACCATTTCACGGTTTACCATTTGGCGAGTAGTACCATTTCGCTATTTGGGACTATTTTAAACTAAAGTGATACCTTGCAAGCACCATATTCTGAACAGCTCCACATACTGAACGGTAAGACATACTTTAACCCTTTCCTTTCCCTGATGACACGGGTGATCCACAACTTTTTGCTCCGTTTCATGTTTGTCAATCGATTGTATGACATTTCCCAGCAAACCATTACCCGGAAGACCATTTGCCGTAATGGATCATTTCCCGGAATGTTTCTTGGAATATTTTTTTTTTCCGTTAAAAAAAAATTCAAGTAAATTTATCGATCGACTCGAACAAAATTCGTTGATTTTAATAAAAATTAATAGGCCTATACAATACTTGGTCTCTCGCGGTCATTTTAAAACCATCATAATGAAGCAAAAATCTTACACAGTTGAGGTATGGGAGAGAAGTTTTAAAACGCTTCTTATTTTTCGAATTAATTTTATTTAATTGTTGCTATTATGGATGATAAAAAGTTTCAATCTACCTATGAGTAGTCCCAGGCAAAACAGCGAAAAAAAATAATTAATTTTTGAACCGTCCAAGGTTTCAGCCAATACACGGCATTCACCCCGACAGTCAATTTGAAGTGAAAACTTGAATTTCACGAAGTTCAAAAGTTCCGTGCGCAGAGCATGGAAATCGGAAGTGGTTACAACCAGGGCGTCACAATGTCAGCTTCAATCGACCAAATCGATGCGACGAAGAGACTGCTGGCTTTCTTTTTCTGTTAAAGTCGAACAGCTTCGCAGCATTCTAGAACCTCAGTCGGCGTGCACAAACAAATGTTCAATCGCTTGTCTCTCTTTCTCCCGTCGCTCCATTGGTCTTCCTTTCAAGCTTCGGTGAAACGGATGAGCGAAATAACGCTCGACTTTGATAGTTTTCTCTTTCATGAAACACATCAACAGAGGTTTCATGACGTATATGACGGAAAATGAAATAACACATTTAAAGCATTTCTCACGTGAAAACACGTGAAGATTACACGTAATATTTTTAATTTATCTTCCATCCATATATTTATCTAAAAAAAATAATCAAAAAAGCGACATAACGCATTTTAAACAAATTGAAAGAACGGTGATAGAGTGTTCGTGAAAGGGGATTGAAAGTCATAATGAGATTCGTTTAACTAGAAAATCGACGTTAGTTACATTGAAAGCGATGAGCAAAGCAACGACGAGAAGTTCCACAGCCAGCCTTTCCTTCTAAGCGTCCTGCTTTTTTATTTTCGTTTCTTGCTGATAGTCTAGCTAGGCGTTATAGAAATGAAGCGTCGAACACGTATGTATGAGAGAGAAAAAACACGAGTTCATTTTAGAGCTTCGAAATTGTAGAGCCCTGGTTACAACAATGGGGGGAATCTTTTCAACAACAGATTAAATCAAACATTACAAGGCATTTACAGCAAAACTTGCAATTAAGTATATGTATGAATGATGTATAATGTATGAATGAATGTATATGTATAATGTATGAATAGTATGTGTGGTCACTAGACTGATGCAAAATTTGAAATTTTCGCTCCACAGTGCTTAAACGGTTCCAAATTGGGTCCTGCTTAGCCTCCAAAAATTTGAACTACTTTAGTAAGAAACTACCATCGCACAAATCATTTCAAGTTTATATGGGAATTACTATGGGAAAACTTATGTTTTTGTTCATATGTATCTAATAATTCACCACATCACTATGCTTTTAAAAATGATAGCAATGATTGTAAAAAAAATTCCCAGCTACAACTTTGTCGAAACCCACTTTTCAATCAAATGTAAGGAACAAAAGTTATTAATGATTCAAGTCACTGATATCTTATGATTGTGCTCATTCAACTGTTCAGCAGGCAACATTGGTGTTTCTGGTGCGAAGAATATAGCACAAATATCATGGCTACTATGTCACACTGCAGAATACAGTGTTGCTAACAGAACAGCTGCTTGATCATGCCATAAGATTATCAATCTATTAAACAATTAATAACTATTTAATTTGACATTTGGCTGAAAAACGATATTCCGCAAAGTTGTAGCTTAGAAAAATTTCCATAAGAATAATTATAGAACTTTTCGAAAAAGCAATTTGGAAAATGGGTAGTAGAGAATGAACAAAAAGTTTGGTTTTCTCATAGCAATTTCCATATAAACTTCAAATAGTTTGTGCCAAATCAGTTTCTTACCAAATGAGTTTAAATTTTGGGAGGCTAATCAGGACCTGATTTGAAACCGTTTGAGCACTGTGGAGCGAAAATTTCAAATTTTGCATCAGTCTAGTGGTCACGCATGGTTTTTATATGTACCGTAAAACGGGATATCTTTGATAATACGGGTAACTTAGATAATATAATTTAGAGATTAAATTTACTCGCTACGCTTTTCCAAATTAGAAACATTGGTTCCATATTATAGCTTAGGGTATTTCCGTTGATATCATATATAGTTTTTATAAAGAATGTCTTACATATTAAAAAAAAACAATTTTCGTGTTTTTCGCCTGTTTGAAAAACCACTCTAACCATCACTTATGAAATGTATTTCAAATATAGCCATCACAAATTCAATGTTGTATTCTTATTGCTTATCATTTTTTCTGATTATATACTCATTCAAAGTTTCATATTTAAAGAACTAAATTGTTTGAGTTTCAGCCATTTTTTCTACATTCATCGAGCATTATCAAAGTAACCCCAAATCAAAAAACTGAAGTTCGTTCACAAAGCTAAAAAAAATAGTGCGAATGCTTTAAGTTCCGTTAAATATATTACTAAGGAATTGACTCTTGGATCCTCAGTACTTGTTTTAAAAATATAAATTTTGAAAAACATTCATTGGTGTAAAAATTATTTGGAATATACTTTAAACAACTATCAATGTTACCCCGTTTTACGGTACATATATTAAGTATGTGGCCGACACATACACACTTAGACATTATCGCCGGACTTCGGTAATTTTTATCGAAATCTGAACAGCTGAACTTTTCCGGTAAAATTTATGCAATTCAATTCAATTGCTTTTGCTATTTTTTATTAGGAGAAGTTGTTGAGGGGAGGGGGGAGATTGTTGTGAAGGGGGGAGCGGGAGAGGTTGTTGTGAAAGGGGGAGGGTGTTTACATAAATTACACCGTGATCCACTTTTAGCCGCTGATTTGGTCCTGCTTACAGCAGGACCAAGTGCCACGCCGTCCGAAGCGACAATGAGCAAAAGCAGTTTTTTTTTTTTTTTAACAATTAAATGATCTTTATTTCTTGTGTTTGTGTGGTTTACATGTATGAATTTTTCAAGTGACACAGATGCGTCTTTTCAACTTTAGTACAGTGAGATTTTAATTATTATTTACAGTTTCTAGTCCTATCAGGCCTATTTTAAAGTATGACCACCTTGGTGGGATTGGTATGATTTGAATTGGAAAAAGGAGTCTACTTATAACTACTATTTACAACTACAACTAACCTACAACTACTATATACACCTAACCTACTATATACAAATTGCTTATCAAAGCATGTTCTGATAAATTACATTTTTGTGCAAATTTAGTCTTAATTTCGTTAATTTTGGAATCTATTTTGGCAATGCCTGCCTCTTCATGTAAATTTGTTATTCTAGTGTCGAAAGGACGATCAAGAACCATCCTCAGCACTCTATTCTGAGCGACCTGAATTTTGTTCCTGTGAGTCTGTGCACATGATTCCTACACCGGACCTGCGTAGAGGATCGCAGGTGCTATGATTTGTTTGTAGACGGCCAGTTTGTTCACCCTTGAGAGGCGGGATCTGCGGCAAATCAGCGGATACAAACACCTAACCAAGGTAGAACACTTGACTACAGTTTTCTCTACATGCGAACGGAAGAGGAGCTTTTCATCGATCAACATCCCGAGATAGGTTACTTCGGCGGACCACTCAACCCTTGTGCCATCCATGATTACAGTACAAGATGGAGCCGGTTTCAGTTTAGGCGATTGCCGATGTAGGAACATGATCGCTTGTGTTTTGGAGGGATTGATTTTAATTTTCCACGTGGTGGCATAATCAGCAAAGGCGTTAAGGCATCGTTGAAGTTTGTTCGTTATTTCGCGAGGCATCCTTCCTTTGACGGCTATTGCGGTATCATCTGCGAACAGGAAGAACACGCAACCGTCTCCAAGGGGAGGAATGTCGGTAGTATAAATGCTGTAAAGCAAGGGGCCCAGCAGACTGCCTTGCGGCACTCCTGCTGGGATGGAAAACGTGTCGGAAAGACAACCATTCAACGATACCTTAAACGACCTTTGCTGAAGGTATTTACGGGTGATTTTAACCAGATGTAATGGGAAGTTGAAGTTACAAAGCTTGTACACAAGTCCGTCATGCCAAACATTGTCAAACGCCTTTTCAATGTCTAACAAGGCCATGGCTGTGGACTTTGATACAGCTTTGTTACTTCGGATGTTATTCATCACCCGTACTAGCTGATGATTGGTGGAGTGCCCCTTTCTGAATCCAAACTGTTCCGGAAGGAGAATGTTATTTTCCTCGACAAACTTGAGCAAACGATTGAGAATGAGTTTCTCGAACAATTTGCTCAGCGCTGAAAGGAGGCTGATTGGTCTGTAGCTTGAAGGCAATGTTGGATCCTTACCGGGTTTGCGGATTGGTATGATTTTTGCTACTTTCCAGATACTTGGAAAGTAGTGCAGTTCCAAACATCTGTTGAAGATAGCGGTTAGAAGAGACTGCACTTTTATGCTGAGTCTCTTCAAGATCAAGTTGAATATACCGTCAAACCCGGGAGCCTTCATGTTCTTGGTGCATTTCAGCGCTGAGCAAATTTGTTGTACTGTAATCATATCCGCCGAAGGCACGACACAAGGGGAGGCATCTAGGTTTTGAACGCATTGCGCAACCTGATCTTCGAGCGGACTTTGGATATTCGAGCCAAGCAAATGCGATGAAGCGACATGCTCGCCGATCGCATTTGCTTTCTCCTGTGGGGTGATTAAAAGCCGATCGTCATCATTTTCGACTCTGAGAGGTGGAATGGGTTTGGGATGAGTTTTCAGGACCTTGGCTACCTTCCAGAATGGTCTGGAGCGGTCGTCCAGATTCTGGACAACACGCCCGAAACTTTCATTTCGGAGTGAGTCCATTCTGGAAGCAATCTGTCTGTTCAGATCAGCCATTTCACGTTTTTTGCCCAGATCTCCAGTCCTCTGAAACTGGCGTCTACGAACATTTCTCAGGCGAATCAAAAGTTGGGTGTGGGAATCAATGGCAATAAACTTACCCCTCACAGGAACTCGTCGGACGCACGCCTCGTCAGCCACGGTTATGGCTTGGTGGAGTCCCTCCAACGCTCGGTCGATGTCCTCCACGGTGTCAAGCGGCGGGTTGTCGATGATGTGCCTGTCTACCACGCGTCCAAACTGGGCCCAGTTTACGCGATGGTAGTCCTTGCGCAGGCTTGAAGCAGGAGCCACGTTGCAGCCCAGTTCAGCCACCACCGGTTGGTGGTCGGAGCTGAGTTCGTTCAAGGCTACCGGCTTGGACAAGCCGATATTTGTCAGGAACAGGTCTAGCGTCGATGGGTTGCCCGCCGGTGAGATGAATGTTGGTTCATCCGAAAACCAAACAGAATACAGCCCATGCTGTGAGTGGTCGAACAGGAGACGACCGTTCTGGTTCTGCTGGTAGTTCCGCCAGGCCTCATGGCGAGCATTCAGATCTCCTCCAACTACGAAGCGGGAACCGGTACGGGTGATGGTGGACAGGTCCTTCTTGAATTTAGCCGCTAGTCCACTGCTGGCGGCACACTGTCGAGGGCAGTAGACGGCGATGAACTGGACGTATCCAGTCGACGACTCCACCTCCACACCAAGGGCCTCGATGATAGAGGTGCGGATATGGGACAGAGTTTGGTATTTTATTCCTTTCTTGACGACGACCGCAACACCACCCCCCTGGAGCTGGTGCGATCAAGCCGGATAGTGTTGTGGTCAGGCAACCAGAAGCTGTCGCCGGACTTTAGATGGGTCTCGGTTAGAAGGCCCACGTCGATGCTGTGCTTGCGGAGGAAGTCGGCAAGCTCAATCTTTTTTGCTCTTACAGAGCAAGCATTCCAGGTGACGATAGTTAGCGGTTTAGATGCCATACTGGATGATAAACTAACCGAGCACTTGGATCTGTTCGGGCTTATTGCGGCACTTACGAAGAGCACCGGACATGTTGACGGAAATTTCCATCAGTTCATCCGCTGAGAACAGATCGGGGTTGTTGTTTTGCGCTGTTGGTTGTCTCCAGAATCCAGGGGGGATGGAGAGCTTTGACCAGCAGAATCACCGGAAGCTTCTTGAGGGGGGGGCGGGTTGCACCCGCGAATTCGCTTGCCTTTGCTGGGGAGCATGAAGAGGCGGAAAATCCTCCGTCCTGAATGATGGGGTTTTGTCCTTCTTTCGTCCTGGTTGATTGTTGCTTGACGCCAGCTTTCGGATGCGTTTGAAGTCCTCGCGTTTGGAGCACTGTCTGTCAGAGCCTTGATGTGCACCACCACAGTTAGCGCATTTTATCGCCACGGCTCCATCCGCAGGGCAGTTGGAAGTGGCGTGTTCTTGAGCGCAGTTGCTGCAGCGTGGCTTGATGTTGCAGTTGCGGGTACCGTGTCCAAAATTGAGGCACCTCTGACACTGCGTTACGTCACGATGACCACCACGGTATGGCTCCCACCGTACGATGATGGAGTAGATCGATCGGATGGCTTGTAGCGCATTGAGCGTCACCGTCCCTTTCTGGAAGTGCACCAGGAAAAGACAATCCGGGTACGTCTTCACGTTTTCATCTCTCCTTGTCATTCGGAAGACAGCGATTGGGACTAGCTTGTACCGGTTGATTTCGGCTTCGACCATCTTGGGGTCGAAGTTTGGTAGACCCCTGATGACTACCTTGAAGGGCTTCTCACCGGGGATGTCGTGCGTGAAGAATTCCACCTTGGTATCCTTCAGATATTTCACGGCCACTTCGTACTCCGCTTTGGTTCGGAGCATCACGTTGGTGGCGATCCTGCCGAGCTTAAACTCAGCTGCAACGCCCAGCGATGAAAGATCGCCAATCAGCGTGTTGAGTGGGACTTGCTTCACCACCAGTGGAGGAAGCTTCATTTTTGCTGCACTCGGGCTGGCAGCAGTTTCGTTGTCGACGGCGTCGCCGAAATCACCAATGACGCTGACGTTCGTCGCGGTGGCATCGTCCCGTCCACTCGCACCATCGGACTGGCCTTGATTTTTCTTCCTCTTCTTTGACCGCTTCACCGTGGCTGAGGTGGTATTCCCTACATCGGTGGGAAGAGTAGCGTACCTATTCGAAATAGGTACACTCAAGCTACCCTCACCGCTGTTCTTCTTCTCCATTTTCTCTCGGAGCCTGCTCCGGGAGCGCTGTCTTCCCATCACACGAAGCGACCGACACTACTGACGATGCGATTAAACTGCGAATGTTTGGAACAAACTAGAAACTTTAGAACAACTCGACAGAGCGAGCAAAGACCGAACTGTACTGCTTGACGTACAAGCAGAGAATCTCATGAGCAAAAGCATGACAGCAGCGCTGTTTTATATCTTTTCAGGTTCAGAACCTGATAGGATTTCCCGCCGTTTTTTATGAATGGGGCGGAGCCAAAAGTTTCTTTGGTGCAGAATATGTAAAAAAGGATGGACTTTGGATGTTAATATAATTGCATATATAAAGGTACCAGATATGTTTTACATTCAGTTGTTGGTAATGCATCGAGTTTATGTCTCCTATTAAGCAACATTTTTTTTTTTTTGATAATGTTGGCTCTGCATGTAAAAAATAAATTGTTCATACATTATTAGGGTTTGCTTAAAATTTATGTCCCGAAAAAAAAGATCGTCCATGTCTTTCTCGGGTTATTGTTAAGGGGAGGGGGAGGGGATTGTTAAGCGGGACGGGGTTTTACATGCACGTTTTTTCAAGTCTCATTCCTCATTGTGGTGGACACGCCGTGATCCACCTTTAGACGCTGACCTAGTCCTGCTTGATGAAGGACCTAGTGCCACGCCGTCCGAAGCGGTAATGAGCAGAGGCATGAGAGCACCGCTGATTTATATCTTTTCAGGTTCAAGCAGAATGATGTGCAACCAAGTGGTATTCGTTTATGATGACTGGGTTTGGAAAAAAAGGCTTATTTCATGAAATCAGTGATAAAATTATCATTTGTACATTTTCAAAAGTTTAATTACATTAGAGATGAACTAGCCTAAGGCTAAAAATCTCTTTAATAAAGAATTAAAAAAAAAAAAGTTTAATTACAGAAAAATTGGAAAAATATTTATTTCAGCAGGTTCGTAATGTAATATCCTATCGATTGGCGTATTTGGATTTTAATTTCATCTATAAATGACAAAGTTACAAGCGTTCAAAACCTAACACTCCTTCACCACACATATTTTTTGATTTGCACCCCAGTATAGTCGACAAAGACGTAGTTCTACGTCAAAAAAGCTCTTGAAAGCTTAAAATGATATCGGACTTAGGTATGTCATTTTGTAAACCGACTTTGCTCGGGGTGTGATTAACCTCGCGATTCACTAAATGCACTTCTATACCTATACCACTATAGTTTTGAAACATAAAGGCACAGTTGATGTAGGTTCCGTGACCAACGATTAATTTAATTTGTTTGATAAAACACGGGGAACTGACAGCTTCTACATTGCCACTCAAGTTTATTATGGCTGTTTCCAATGGTTTCTCCTTTCCTTTTCTGATCATCACACAATTTTCATAAAGCAATTACTAGAACTAAAAGAAGGTGTTCATACAAGGAATACGGCTAATATCGATTCATAATTGTCGAACAGTTCGTTCACTCACCTTTTCGTTCCGCTTCCCATTCCACAGATTGCGAACAAAACCGTGCAACAATGGTTGATACTGCGCGCCCTGAGTCATCCCCTCTGCCAGGATAGGAACATAACGAAATTCCTCACCCAAGCCGAGGTTAGCGAAAACCTGATCCAATGTTCCCGGGCGGTCACGCAAGGTGATACGAAGGAGAATATGATTCTGCTGCACAAGTGTTTCCTCATTTCGGATAGTGGCGAAGTGCTCATCGATCCGGCAACGTGCTCCAAGATTGTTGAAACGATTGCCACTCCGTTGAAGAATGACGGCGAAATCGAACTGAAGGATACGTGCGCTAGCTTTTTGGCGCAAATCATGCCGGTCGTCTGCGGTGATAGTCGTCAGGGAGAACTGCAGCGACGAATGTTTACGATGCTGTTCGATTTTAGTGCTGAAAATAGCGTGAGCGATTATTTGTCGGAGGACACATTGTGGGAGGTAACGACTGCCTGGCAGGATGCACTGTCCAGCGATGATTTGGCACTCGACCAGGAGTTGATTGAACAGTGCGCAGGAATTGTGGACAAGGAATTGAAGATATTTTCCGCTGGGGAAAGCATTAATTTGGAACGATTCGAGAAGCTGGCGGAAATCTGTACGAAGTTGATGATGTGTTCGACGGAATCGATAAAACGGAGTGAACCGGAACGTTGCAAGCAGATTGATGTGTTGTTTGGAAGCGTAGTGGCGAAGGCTGCGAGCGAGCAGGCGTCATCCAAGGATTTGATGGAGAAGCTAGCGATCTACGTTGAGCTTTTGAATGGGGGGCTGATGGCCAAAACGGGCGAGTATAGATCGGATTTATCCACGGAGGCATTCACAAAAAATCTTCGGCAGTTGTTGGTACGAGAGCTGTTTTGCTTGAATGTGGTGTTCAAGTTGAGTTGTAATCCCAAACGGAGGCCGTCTGGCAATAGTGAAAGCAGAATGCATCACGATGGAGAGCTGACTAACGAGTACGATGCAGGAGATGCGCATATGGATGATGAGGAAAATCTGATTCACTGCTGGTCGGAATTGATACACCAGAAGGTTCTAGCTGTGATATATTCGATCGCGATTGGCGATACCCTTTTGTATAGCACAAATGATGTAGGTTTATATGGATTGTTTTCAGATATAGGTATTCATCGGGATTCTCTTTTACAGCTTGACGACACTGTTGAAACGCTTATAATAAGTTTGCAGGAGCGACTGGCGTTGCTATTGAAGAACTTGCCTTCCGGAATTTTGGACGCGATCAAGCAGCGCCTGTTCCGGCTGGCAAATGAATCGGGACTGCTGTGGGCAAAATCACTCGTCTCGCTACTGGAGACTAATCAATACTCCGATGTTGAAAATGGAGCGGTCCTGCTGTACGAAGATGCCTCCACTGTTGTCAACAGTGATGATTTGATCACCTACATCAATATTTTGCAGGTAAGATTGTGTAGGAAGTTAATTATTTTTGATCTGGTTAGTGACGACCCGTCTTCAATCAAAAGGTTCTTTCGAGAAAAATGGCTCCCAAATGTCTACCAATCCGACCGAACTTGTTCGAAAATTACTTCGACATCTTGGTGAAACTGGCCGCCAGTCGAAGCCTGATCGAAAACCACTTCAGTTCCAATTACAACGAGCTTGGCGATAGGAAAGTCATCGGCAACACGCTGATAGTTTTGCACGAAATCATCAGTAAGCACAATGCTAGCAAGTGTTTGCTTTACAATTGGTAAGTGAACCGGAGACCGGTTGTAGACTGCAAAATGTTGATTAACTTTCTCGATGAACAGTGACCTTTCGCAAGTGGACGCAGGAAAGCTCTATTTGGACACCGAGCTGGCGAATGTTTTGGCCATTGTGATGCCCCATTTTGCATCCGAGCTTGATATTGGCAAGTGGGACTTTGTGAGAATCGCTCTAAGCTCGTGGACCCTGACCGTGTCTAAAAATCATCACAACTTTAGATCGAACAATGTATGTTACAAGGAATTGTTGCTGAGATTTTTAAGCGCAGTTTCAAAGAAAATTTGTCGTTTTTAGATTTCCATTTTCATCGCCGCTATCTTCAGATTGTTTAGTGCTGTATCGAAGTTCTTCGATGAGGAGAAAGCCAGAAGTTCCACTGAACTACTGACCAACGTTATTGAGGAATGGGACAACGTGTTCGCCAAGGACGTTAATCTTGTACTACTGAAAACGTACATCAACATTGTCAAGGATATTGGTATGAAGCTTATGCTTACTGATCGATTATTTAGCTATTCATCAAAAAATCCTATAACTTCCAGATCGCACGAGAAAATCTGACGAGTACTTCCTGGACACAATCAGCCCTCACATCGATTCAATCGATTTCAATTACGTACTTAAGGTATGGTGGTTCAATTAACCTTGCACTTTCATCTAATTCAATCTGCACTTTATTCAGGCCAATAAGGTTGATTCGAAAATCTCTCTCGATGATCTGATCGACTTCGCGCTGGCCAACGTCAATCACTGGAACGCCCGGATCCGGGTGTCTGCCGCAGCGATTCTCCGCAATCTCTCGGCCGGACTCATCCAGCGTGATGTGGAACAGCTTCAGAGGCGTCACGAGACGGTCGAACAGCAGCAGAAGAACCCCGAAGAAACCGACGACAGCTGGCATCTGCTGCAACGTTTCAAGGTCAAAGTGGAAGAATTTCAACCAGCCGTTAGTGATTTTGTAGCGGAGTTCAACTACAAGATCAACGAAACGGAAGATGTTCCGGCACAGGCCGTATTGGGCAGGGATCGAACGATAGCGTACCTCCTGCTGTGGGACTGTATTTTGGAAATCTGTGCCAAATCACCATCCGAGCTGCGATCGATCTATGCGTCGTGGATTACCGTGAACCACTACGACCAGGTACGGAACCGACTGGTTATGGAAACACTGCTTAGCAAATATCACTAAAAAATCAATTGCAGGTCTTACTTCCCGCACTGTTTAGGCTAATGCCCAACGAAATACTGAAAAATCCAGATTCTGGGGCAATATATGGACAGACTATGTTTGCCAAATTAGAGTGGAACCAAATCAAAAGTAAGTATAATGGTCGAGGATAATCATACATTTTCTACTTTATTCCGTGTCCTGCTCTCCTTCTTCCCTTTCCACCACCGACCGACTCAAATCCACAGCAATCGATGAAGTCCGTGGAACGAAGTTCACCTTGGACCCCTTCTCCCGCTCGGTCTTGGTTGTTTCTTCGCTAGGAACCGACCGTACAGCCGTTTGCGACACACTTTGAGCCCCGACGAAATTGCTTCCATAGGTCGTATGACTCTCCACGTCATGCAGGGCCAAAACAGCAGCAGCTATGCAAGATTCCAGCATTCCGGTTACGATGTCCTTTGTTGTCTCGTCTTTGATCGAGTCGTCCTCCTCTTCGCTTTCCCACTCTTCTCCTTCACTTCCCTGCCTTAGTTTGGTTTGATCTTCGAAAATGCTTGAAGCCGCTGATAGGCGCTTCTCTACGTCTTCGGGGCGCTCAAATGTCACTCCACTGGATTGCATGATATGCCACATCCACTTCGCAGCTTCATCACCCAGCTGACAGTAGTATTTATCCAGGACATGGCCGCCATTTCGCCGAGGGACATCAACCCCAATAAGCTGACAAATTCGTGTCAGTATCACTTCGGACGCTATGGCGAGCTCATCTTGCGGCGGGGTTGCTGCGGCATCTAAGAAGTAGCTCCTATTTTGACGGTAGGCTTTCTCCATGATATCCCGAAGGTAAGCTAACTCCAAACGAACTATTTTCTTTTTCAGCATACGAGCTTGTCGCTCTCGATGCCGCAACCACCTTCGCTCGTCCCGTTTCTGTTGGCGGGCAAACTGGCGTGACTCCGGTATGGTTAGGTAATCACGGGCAGTTAGCCGTTCGTTCATTCGCTCTACCTGATGCGGTTTGAGGTGACCGGCGTGGAGTTTTAGGGTATCTTCCACGTAGTATGCTTTCGGTTGAGCGAGGGTTCTGATGTGGTTGGTAGCCGCTGGAATCGTTTTTCGTACAAGACGAAAATACTGCGGCTTTGGCTGAAAGTTTCTAAAATTGAAGATTTGCAATATGATAAAAATGGTAGATGCGACTTACCTTAGCCCGTGGCGTTGCCAAAAGTCGAATGTGTTCAGCGGGATTCAGTATCTCTCTGTCGATTACGATAGTTTCATTATGACGACAACCGCGAAACTTTGCCGGAGCTGAAAATACTATCTTCGTAATTTTGGGAGTTTCCTTCTGAGCGGATCTTCTGGCTTTACGTTTTTCCTTTCGCGCTTTTCGTTGTCTTTGCCTCGACTCTTTGATACCACGCTTGATTTCGGCTTCCAACGAAGGGGGTTCTTCCGCAAATAACTCCGGATACAGGACCACTTCGGTTGATTTATCGAACAAGAGGAGCTCGCTGGAATTTTGACTGCTCTCATCCATGATTTCGAAAATAATATGTCAACTGCCGGTCAGTGCTAACTTTGATTTCTTTTTAATAATTTTCCGCAGGCATTTCCCTGAAACCGGAACGCTATGCGTGCCACCTGTATACGCAATCGTTGCGCTTCCTGCCGGCTGTTGTACGCCGTTGGTGGAACGGATTGAATCACCGGCATGCGGCCATTGTCGGTAAGGTTACCAGCAACTGCGTTTCGAGTCTGCTCTGTCAGGATGAATTCCAGTCGTTGATCGAGAAAAAGGACAAACAGGACAACATGCAGATTAAGGTGCACGCTGCTGCACGCCAGGTGATGGCAGTTTACTCCATCGATGAAGCGAAGGTTGAACTGCACATAACACTACCCAATAACTTCCCGTTGGGGGCGGTTACCGTCGAAGGTGGAAAACAAATCGGTGGACGACTGCAGTCGCGACAGGTTGTTATGCAGCTTTCCATATTCCTAACGCATCAGGTAAGTGATATGCTCAATTTTCTCAAAACAAATAATCATTGGAGAAAATTCCTACCTCAAGAATGGTTCCATTTGGGATGGTTTATCGCTGTGGAAGCGCAACTTGGACAGGAAATTCGAAGGAGTCGAAGAATGCTACGTGTGCTACAGTGTCATTCATCAGGATACCTGTCAGCTACCGAAACTGTCGTGTAAGACGTGCAAGAAGAAGTTCCACGGTCCCTGCTTGTATCGGTGGTTCAGTACGAGTAACAAATCTACGTGTCCTATTTGTAGGAACATTTTCTAAAGTATTTATTTTGAAGCAATTATCCTCGGTATAGATTTATGATAGAAATAAACACACACAAGTACTATTTTCCACCACTAGCTGATAGCTAAGATTGTTTGCATTAGTTTAAAATTTAAAAATCGTGTATCATGCCAATTGTAATTGCTGCATCCAGTCGGCAGCAGTTTGTCCTATGGAATAAATTGATCAAAAGTGAAGTGGATTCTCAGTGTTCGTGCCTTTGTATTTTGGAAAGAAAATTCCCTAAACATTTTAGAACTGGTCCAACGTCTTTCAAGGTTTGACCTTCAAATTCGGTTAGCTTCTAATGTCAAATCGGTGATTCAGTTTTTATAGTAAAAAGCAGGATAGCTCAGTTGTCTCCACCCAGGCGCACACTCGGTTCGTGGCTGCATGTCTCCAGTTTCTTGAGTTTCACACACTTGCAAAATCTTGCTTCACATGGTCTTGCTCGCTGCGCTCTTCTGCGTATTGTACCTGCCAGACTCGCAGCGCCTGCAGGCCCTCCTCGTGCCCGTACAGAACTATCGGTCTTATCAGCGTTTTGAACATGGTACTTTTAAGTACAGGGGCGAAGCTAACTAGAAGTCAGGGTTTTGTGTAGTCCGTAGTAAGCACGACTTCCAACAATAATACGTCCCCGAATTTCTTTGCTGCAGTTGCTAGCCGACGTCACCAATGATCCGACAATGTTCATGTTGTCAAGGAATCAGATGAACTGGCTGGATTTATTCTTCTTCAGTCCTTTATTTAACGTCGGTCTCTGTTCCGCAATCTAGTGCCAATCACCGACGGACATCGATTGCCATCCATTGATGGGAACCGAATGTGCAGGAAGGCAGCTTTTCTACACCTGCGTAGGATATCGCACCCATTCAACACACATGGGTTGGGACCAACGGCTATACTTTCCTTCCGAAGCAAGATGTGACCAGAGATTTTTATGCCTCAGAAAAATCCCACCAATCTCGGCTGGGATTGAACCCAGACACATTTTTTTTTTAAAGTTTGTTTGTTAATTTTTAGCTAATAGATATCACATTCAATTTGTAAAAAATATTACTCTTCTAAATTCCGAAGGAATTCTAGTTCACCTACATCTATTCTGTTATTAATATTTGCATTAATATAGTTGATGTATTTTATAAACAATTTAAGAATTTCATTTCTTCTGGCTGCTGCAATGTTGCCCAAGATTGGTCGTATATCAACTCGGTGAAGGAAAGTCGTTGCCATCCGCCAAGAATCGTCATTATTCTTCGTTGTACGTGCGTCCATGCTGCAGCTATACGAGGGCACTCGCAGAACTTGTGCTGTAGCGTTTCAATAGACACCATGCAGTGCTGACAATTCGAATCATTTGCACGTCCGATAATTTTCATTAGTCTGCGGTGCTCCGTCTTCTCGTTGGTTAACATGTAGAGATCGCTGCGTTGGCACGACGTCAATCCTCTTGACGAAATATTTGTCCAGATTTTTTTCCAATTTTGACCTGGCTGGTTCCGTTCCACCCTTGGCAGTTCGGTTTGCTCAAGATAGAGGCAATGAATTTGATCGCTGGTGGGATTTTGTTGAATGTTGGGTGGAAGCAAAGCAGTCTGCTGAGAAAGCAGTTTGAAACAAGGAAGATCGGCAGGGGGAGGAATATTTTGGGAGAGAAGGGAACGATAAAAGGGAATGGAATCGATCTCCTGCAGGTGGCGGTTGATGAGAAGCGCTTTGCATTTGATCGCCGGCAATTGTAGCTTTAGGCCACCTTTGTCTCTGCTACGTGCCAACTGCTGCATTGGAATTCGTGCGGGCAGCCCACGAAACAGGAATGTTCCCATCGTCGCTGTCAGTTTCGCCGTGTGAACACACTGTGGTGGTATTACAGACGAAAGATACCACACCTTCGCTGTAATAAAGGTGTTTAACAAAATCACCTTCTGTTGCAGGGTAACCAAATAAGTTGCGTTATTCTGGCTACTAAAGCATCCCAGTTTTGCTTCACCATCAGTCGCACTGAGTTGGTGAAAATATCACCCAGAACCTTCACATTCTCCTTCGTCTGCAGTCCTGGTATTACAAGGGAGTTCCCATTGACGAATCCAACATCGATAGCCACTGTTTTTTGCCGATTTAATTTTGCCCCGGCAACTATCTCAAAACTGCCGAACAGCTGGTAAATACGGTCTATTGTTTGTGTTGAGGTTGCAATAAACGTGATGTCGTCGGCGTGTGCAACGCAAAGGTCACCACCACAAACTCGCTCTATCCGTGTGAGGAGGGGATGGAGATAAAGCACGAAAAGTAACATCGACATTGGGTCTCCCTGCCGTACGGATCGCTCTATACGGAACGGCTGTGAAAGGCGCCCATTCACCAGCAGACGTGACGAAAACGCAGCAGCGATCCGAGAGAGCCAGTCGACGAAACCCTGGTTGAAACCCAGAGATAGAAGAGTCCGATGCAGGAACTCGTGAGAGACCCGATCGAACGCGTGGTCGAGATCGAAAGAGATCATTTTTCCTTTTTGCTTTCTCGCGGTTAGTTGTGCTACACGATCCTTAAGCGAGAGCGTGGCTTGGAAGATGGATCGATCGGTGTTGGCAAATTTTTGCGCGTCGCTCAGGACTCGATGTGTCCGGAGAATGTGTTCCAGGCGGGTCTTCATGACGCGGGAGAGAATTTTGAAGTCGACGTTGAGCAGGCTGATCGGACGGTATGCTCTCGCTGTTCCATCGCTACCTCTCTTTTTAACCAGTACGATAGTGCCATCGGCAAATTCCGAAGGTAGCTCATCCGTCATAGCTTCATTGGTGACGAAGTAGAGCTCTCGATAGATGATGTCGAAAGTTCGATGGTAAAACTCTACCGGTAGACCATCGATACCCGGCGATTTTCGTTTTTGTGACGTTCGGATGGCATTTTTCAATTCGTTGATGCTGGTCTCTGCCACAAGAGCAGCGTTAGCTTCGTCGTTCTCGGGTACTGCTCTCTCGGTTTCAAACATCTCCTCCCCAACTTGCCTGGTCTCCCCCGCCGCATACAAGTCCTTGAAGTATCGGAGCATGTGCTGCTCGATCTCCAGGGAGCCTTGAATCTGCTCTCCTCGCTCGTTCTGCAGCTTTGTGATGATTGTTTTTTTACGTCGTCTATCACCCATATATATATGGGTGATATGCTCTCTCGAGCTACGAATGTTTCATTGATCCGAATGAAATTTTGTGCGAAGCGTCGCTGCAGCGTGAGCATTTTCGCTTTCACGCGGTTGATAGTCGTCAACATGCCTGGATTTTGGTAGTAGCCATCATACGCGAGCCTCAATTGCGCATAGAGACGTTGGTATTCAGCGTTAAAGATGCTGAATGCTTCGCTTGACTTCCAGCGGAAAAACGATTTAATTTTTGGCTTCGCGTATGAGATCCACAGGTGGGGAAAGTCCTCCGTTGGCGGGTCCAAAACAGCCACCGGACTTGGAAATCATCGATGTTTTCGGCAGTCAAAGATGAGGACGGCGGGACCAGAATCCACGTCCTTGTTCACGACCGAGGTGCGGAAGGCAAATTCGCGCTGTAAGAGCTTTGTGGTCTGTGAACGAACATACGTGTGTGGCAGCACTTCGTAGATGCTCGCAAAGCCCATAGCTTACATACATGCGATCGAGCCTGGATGCCGCATTGTGCGTAACGTATGTGGGTTCGGGGGTGGTGGGATATAGCTTCAGCCACAGGTCTTGAAGCTGCAGCTGCCGTATGGTCGCTTGGAGCGCCGGACTTGTGTTTGAACTCGTGGAGTCGCTCGGGCGAAGCACGCAATTAAAATCGCCAGCGAGGACGACGTGTTGCGTGTTGTGCCGAAGGTAATATGCGATCGTGCCGTTGAAGAATCTCTCTCTTTCCGCACGAGCAGCTGTCCCCGATGGCGCATAGATATTACAGAGAGTCGTGTTTTGCACCCTCAAAGCGATGAGGCGGCCATCCAGGGTCTTCTCCACATGCGAGAACTGAATGTGGTCTTTCAGCGCGATTGCCGTTCCTCGCCTTGCCTGGTCCACATTGCAGACAATGTTGAAGCCAGGGAGAGAGAGCTGATCATTCTCCACCTTCTGGAGGAAAACGATATCTAGCTCCAGCGTTCGTACAAAGGTCCGAAGAGAGTCAATTTTCGTTCCGTTCGAGATATTGTTGATGTTGATAGAGGCGAGGTTGTAACTGGAGAACTCAGCCATTACGACAGTTGGTTACTCCCATCTCGCTTGTCGTCGCAGTCGTCCTCCACCCGAGGCTTCTTGCCTGGTGGTCGATTGCGGAGATGCCTTCTTGAGCTGGATGAGCCGACAGAAGAATCTGTTTCGTTGCCATCGGACTTGCCACTAGCAGTTTTGCGATCCACTCCACTGCTAGCAGGGGGCTGTTGACCTGTAGAGGGAGTCAACGACCCGCTGTCCGATAGGGGAATCGAAGCCGAGGAAGAGGCTAGCGTGGGAAAATTCTGTTCGTTGCGCATCGGTGGTAACAATTTCTGTTGTGGGTGGGAAACTTGTTTCGGTGGCGGCATGGTAGCCGGGTTGACCGAGTTTGGTTCGAACCGGGGCCGTGCAGCTTGGTTCGAAGTTGTTTTGTTTTGATTCGCACTGGGAGCGATTTGGTTCGAGTGTGTGTTGGTTTGGTTCGGAGTATAGTCGGCTTGAGATGTTTTTTGTGAAGGCATCTGCTTTGCGGCATCGGCGTACTACTTCTGTACGAGCAATTTTTTATTCTGCACGCAAGTAGCCCCGATGTGGATGTATTCGCGGCAGTGTCGGCATGTTTGTAGCTGCCCGAAATACAATATATTCGTCACTTCACCGTCGATGGTGACCCACGACTCGATATTACGATTCACTTTCATTTTCGCTATGCGGACACCGGTCGAAATACCAGGGAAATCGATATCGGCTCCACATCGTTGCTCTCGTACTGATATGACGTCACAATACCTTCCGAGAAAATCGGCGATTTTTTGGTCCGACACCTCGGACAAATCGAAGAGCATCACCTCCACTGCTCCATCCTCCAGCGTGAT